TCATTCAAAGCCGCTCCATCGATTTATATCTGTTGCTCAGCGACTTTTATCAATATGCCAAAATACAGTCAATGTTTTTATTTTGCCAGGTGAGCTCTCCAGCGTTTAGTTGACTTCCTTTGTACAGAAAACTGATTGCCCAGGTAAGGTTCCATCTGGAGCTTAATTGAGAGTTCTGGCATTGTCTTCACCCTTCATAAACTGATCGGGGTCATGGGTGGAGAAGTAAAGCAGTGCCAGAAAACTTCGAAACCATGTGTAGGACTCATAGAGCAGATTTCCACCAAGTCGAGCTAAGATTTCTTTTCCCTTAGAAGATGTTTAAACTACCAGTCGGGCCGCCCGGCTAACTCCGGGCTTCCCTCCTTCTTATGGTGTCGCGCGGCTTCGCCGGGCGGTCCTCCTACCTGTAAGAAGTTTGTTATACGTAAATAACCCTTTGGATTCTCATTTCTCCTTCAAAGCTCTACACCCTCAGCATTAGCTCCGAATTGGAAGCGATTTTTTCTGTAAGCCATCTTCACCGTGTCCGGTAAGAACATCGTATAATACCACAAAAGCGATTATTCAATCGGCGTGTAATATCACAAAGGAGAAAAAAAGGGGACATCTCGGCTAAGGAAGCGTACTTTCGAAAATTTTCGTGCAATTGGAATACCTTGAGCGTCCAAATTAACAATTTTCGCCCAATCCCTGCCCCTATGGGCGGGGTATGGCCCTGCTACCTACAGTGAGTGTTCCCATCCAGTTCTCATAACTACTACCAAGTTTGAACGCCCTAGATCCACGGGGACAGAAGTTACGAATTTTTGCTCAAACTACGGCCATTGTGGGCGGAGTCCGATCCTGCCACCCACTACAAGTGTTCAGATTTTGCCGCCCGTACTCCTACCGAGTTTGAGTGTTCTAGGTTCACGAGGACCTAAGTTCTGAATTTTCGCTCGAACATTTATTTCTCATAGGTAGACCGACGGCTGCATAGGTAGACCGACGGCTGCATAGGTAGACCG